CTTTTCTCCACACTATCCCTATATATAAATTTATATTCTAAAAAATAGAATGCATTCACCATAGCAACAGTTCCATGTCAACTCCTACTCAAGTCAGAAAAAAGCGTATGTAAAAGAAATGAATATTCTAGAATATTCTAAGGTGCCTACAAGGAAAATAAACCACTCCATTTATTTTGTAAAGATTTAAGTATAAAAGTTCAATGTTTCTTTGAAACATCCTTGTAATTAGAAGGCTATTTTAGTTCTTCACATCCTATTTCATTAAACAGTATAATACACTATTTAAAAGAAAGCAGAGAGGAGGACAGAAAAAGAAAAAAAGAGAAGTCTCTCTTTAAGTCTTTAGCCCACTTATTAATAGGGTGGTTGTTTCTTTGAGGATCTGTTGTTGGGGGATTTAAGTTCTAAGTATATTTTAGATATGAGACTCTTGTCCACTGTATGGCTAGTGAAGATCTTTTCTCAATCCATGAGCTTTCTATTGATCTTGCTTGCTATGTCCGTTGCCATGCAGAAGCTCTGCAGTTTCATGCTGGATCAAGAAAATGTGGTATATATATATGTAGTCGAATTCTATGCCTCCATCAGAAAAAATGACACTGCCCCATTTGTTAGAAAATGGAAAGACTTAGAAAAAATTATATTAAGTGAAGTAAGCCAGGCCCAAAGAAACACAATTCCCATGGTTTCCCTTATCTGCAATAACTAGTATATGTCTAGGATAAGCAGAAGAGGTCAAAAGCTATGTACATAGGACCATATAATCTGATGCTAAGTGAAATGAACCCCAAGATAGGGACACAAGAGATTTTATCTTTCTTGTTCTTCTTGTTAATGTACTTATAATGTACTATGTGATTTTTTTGTTTCTTTGTATGTTGTCACTGTATTTAATTCCAGTGTCCTGAATTTTGTATATATATTTTTCTAATTTGGGAGGGAAAGGGAAATAACAAAATGCTGAAATAAGGATACAGGATGACCTATTGTAATAACGAGATGTACAAAACACTATGCTGAAAACAATCTTTACAACTTGGAGGGGTGAGGGGGGAGTTGGGGAGGAAAGGGATGGTGGGCGAAAAACAAAGGAGGGGATAACAATGCTCGATAGGAAATTGACTCATTACCTTACTCATGTAACTGTAACCCCTCTGTACAGTATCTTTACAATAAAAAATATATATTTTAAAAAAGAATAAACAGGGGCTGAGAAGGTGGCTCAGAGGTAGAGCACTTGCCTTGCATGCATGAGGCCCTGGGTTCGATTCCTCAGCACCACATAAGCAGAAGAAAAAAAAAGCCGGAAGTGATGCTATGGCTCAAGTGGTAGCGTGCTAGCCTTGAGCTGAAGAGCTGAGGGACAGCGTCCAGGCCCAGAGTTCAGGCCCCACGCCCGGACCCCCAACAAAAAAATGTACTCATTACCTTGCTCATGTAATTGTAACCCCTCTGTCCGGTATTTTCACAATAGAAAAACTTATTAAAAAAAAAAAAAAGAAGAAACTTGGTCATATGGAACCAAAAAAATTTTGTTCAAAATTTAAATACTTTCATAGACAAAAAAGAGAAAAAGAAAAAGAAACAACAAAAGAAGTCAATGCCAAGGATAATATGCTTGGGATCAAGTTGATGGGCATGAGAATCAGAAACAGGAAATTATTTTTAAGTGACTTATAACTTAATGTAAGCCAAGCTATGAAATACTAGAACTGTATTAATGTCTCAAAAAAAAAAGCTACATCTACTGGTATTATGGGAACTGAAAAAGAACTTCTTATGCTTAAATAGGCTTCTTTTAAAAATAGTAACAGGATGATTACCTATTAACTTGTTTAATAAATTAAGTAATGTGCAAATTTTATAATAAAAATTAACACACTCATAGACACTGGGCCTGGGGTTACTATGGTCTAAATGTTGTATTCCCCCAAAAGTCACACTGAAATTCTAAGTTCCCTGGCAGTAGTATTAAATGGTGTGGCCTTGTGACATGACTTGGCCATTACAGTCTGAGGGAGATGTCTCATCTTGTCCCATGTCAGGCCACAGTGAGAAGTACATAAAGCACAAACAGGCTCCCATCAGCCAAAGCAAACTTGATTTTGGACTTTTCAGCCTCTAAAACTATGGCCAATATATTTCTGTTGTTTATAAGGCACTGAGTCTATGGCACTTGGTTACAGCCTGAACAGGCCAAGATATGGATTATGTACTACCCAAAAGTCACTGTATCAAATGGAGTATGAATATGGATGGAAATCAAAGCTTTTTTCATTTCACTCACCACTCTCACAGCCAGACACATCTGCCAGGCCACACATCTGTCATCCTTATTCACTGCCCAGGATGGAAAACTATTACAATCCCAAATCCTGATGCTCTGGTCTACTCTCCAACTGCTCTGGCACATCTCAGTCCTCAGAAACATCCCCTAACACATCTACTTTCTAAGCACTTTGCTACACTTTGCCTTCGTGCACTACAATGAAAACCTGATAGTCTGCTACCTCCCTGCAGCACTCTCATTGGAGGATGTGCTTTCTGCCACATTCTGCCCTATGTGCCTCAGGGTTCAGAAGTTGTTCCGAGCTTCCTTAGGGCCTTACCACCTCTGCTCACCCAATGTAGGGGTCTACAAACCGCATGTCTCCAGGCTTCATTCCTTGACATTCCTGGATCACTACCATCTTCTACCACAAGTTAATCTTACATGATCTCAACATTTCCATGAATGACTCTCCTAAACTTTCTTTTTTTTTTTTGGGGGGGTCCAGTCGTGGGGCCTGAACTCTGGGCCTGGGCGTGTCCCTCAGCGCTTCAGCTGAAGGCTAGCGCTCTACCACTTGAGCCACAGCGCCACTTCCAGCTTTTTTCTTTTTGCTTATGTGGTGCTGAGGAATCGAACCCAGGGCCTCAGGCATGCAAGGCAAGTGCTCTACCACTGAGCCTAAACTTTCTTTTTTTTAAGATACTTTTTTATTGTAAAAATACTGTACAGAGGGGTTACAGTTACATGAGCAAGGTAATGAGTACATTTCCTAACAAGCATTGCTGCCTCCTCCTTTGTTTTTCCCCTACATCCCTTCCCTCCCACCTCCACAACTACACTCCTCCCTCCACCCCCACCCCCACCTAAATTGTAAAGTTCGTTTTTCAACATAGTGTTTTGTACATCTCATTGTTACAATGGGTCAACCTGTATCCTTATTTAAGCATTTTGGTTTTTTCCCCTCCCCTCCCCAAATTAGAGAATTGTATATACAAGATACAGGGCACCGACATCAAATACAGTGAAAACAGGGGTTTTATCGTGGGGGTGGGGACATACAAAGAAACAAAAAAAAAATCACATGGTACATTATAAATATGTTAAACTTTGTTTCTTGATCTCATTTGCCAAGATGTCCTTCTCCCCTTTTGCTACCCACATTTCATGGCCATACTTCAGATCTTGTAATTAACCAGAACGCCACCACCTCTGAAATCTCAAGGCAGGTGTTTCTTTGTCTGATTCAATCTCTCTCTCAACTACTGAACCCCATCCTCACATTATTTTATGTTACGTTGACAAAAACTCCCTCCTCTGTGAAAACTCTAGTCAGGCTTGTTCTGCTCCCTCTTTTTAACTAGGATTCAGCTACCACCTAAGAAAACACTAGACTCTGATCAAAAATTATTTCATCCATAATTTAAGGAGGAAATCGAAACCCTAGCCTAGTATCTAAAAGCTTAAGGCTGCATCCTTAGGGCTACTCAGACCCACTTACTTTGCCTGCCTGAGAAAACTCTGTTAATAGTAATATTCGTTTCAGCCTTAGCTTGGTGATAGATAGACCTCTGAAGCCTTTCTTATAGTAATTACTTCAGAAAGCTTACAATTATAAATCCTTTGTCTGCCCCTTTGGCATGTAAATCTTCTATCATCCAGGACTGTCTTCCCAATTAACAGAGAGACAAATCAGTGAAATGTATTAACACTAGTTAATGAACTCAGAATGGTTTTCATAGTAAATAATGTCATCTATCAGCCCATCCCCTCTCCCTGAATCCTCAATCTCTTTCTAAAACACCTGGTCATCTCTCCTAAGTCAATCAAGTTCAGTTCATTCTGGTTTCTTTTTCTGTATTATAGTAGGATTGTTGTAACATAACATCTATCCTTGCTATTTACTATCTGACTCTATTTGGGCTTTGACAATGTAACTTTATGTAACACATATACTATGCCACAAGTTCACTTTTTTCCTCAGCTTCAATCACTTGCTAATATTCTTGAGAAATGAATGTGAATTTCTTAATGTAGTATATGAGGGAATTGGCCTCCTCCTCATCTCTGAACATTTCACTCTGTATTATCTTATTCAACATCTTCACCTTGCTTTGTCTTCCCTCAGCAGGCTGGCATACTTGTTCCACTTCCCTTCCTAGATTGACTTCAATAACCTCACCCTAGAAAACTTGCCTCGATGATCCCCCATTGGATTAACCTCCTACCTGCTCCTAGAACACTCATACACAGCTATGTAAGGGCAAGGAACCAATCTGTCTTGTTTATTACCGTATTCTCACCTCATCATCTGAGGTATATATTAAATGAATGAGGATGTCGGACCATCAGTGTCCTACAGAATTCCAGTTCATATGGTAAAAATTCTCATTACCAAAATCAGGAGAAACATCTCCAATTCTTTCACAGAGCATTTGAAAATGTAGAACAAGAATCTGCAGAACCATGATATGACTCCAACCTCATTAGCATATTTGAGTATTTATGCATGTAAAGAACTTTTTTGACTAAGATAATCCCCTTTAATGGAAAAAAATCTTTCCATTTATAGATAATTTTTCACTGGAGATTGCACTAATTCCATAGTGAGTGGTAAATCCAAACTATACCCAGGATCAGTCTGTATATAGCCAAAGTCATAACCTGGATAAGGTTGGGTATCAGTGTTATATCTTTTACTTATATTTTAGCATAATGTGATACATACTGATAAATTTGTATTATTGGGAACGTATTGATCTTGTTCTCCAAGCAGCACATCAATCACAGGATGCCTTCCATTTTTTATGATGATTTTCTTTTCTTCTTGTAGAGTTGGCCTGCAAAACAAATTATATCAATTTATGGCATGGAAATAGTTTCTAAAAATTCTTTAAAATAGCATGAAAAAATTCCATATCTAGACAATAAGAGAGATGACAAGACCTTAAACATAAATATTAAGAGCCCATCGCAGAGCTGGGCTGTGGTTTACAGTGGTTCACATCTACTGTAGCTACTCAGGAGGCTGACAGCTGAGAATCATGGTTTGAAGTCAACCTGGACAGCCAAAGGCCAGGAATGGAGGTATGGCTCAAGTGGTAAAGTGCCAGCCATGAGTTCAAGTCCCACTGCTGGCGCGCGCACACACACACACACCACTTACTTGAGCCAGCAACTATCTATCTTTCTAAGACCCTTTTGTCTATTGTCTAAGATCAAATAATATGTTCATCAGAAAAGACTATTTTGTGCTTATTTCTACTTAAATTATTTTTATCAATAAGAATAAAAGGAAATTAAGTAAAATTATTTCCAGATTTAATTATTACCTTAATCAAAATATTATTTGAAGACAGAATGGTCTCAAAATTTTATATTCTGTTCATTGGAAATCTTTTATTTTTATTTTAACTCTTTCACTTTTTGCACACAAAAATTAGCATTTGCCTTGCTGTTCATTCTGTCTTACCAGTTTTTACCTACAGCTTTATCTATTTCTCCAAACCCCCTGAGGCTGCCCTTCTCTACTTCTTCCCTAGAGATGAACAGATCAGATTTCAGCCTCCCATTCCCAACATTTCATGTATTTATATTCACCTGCACGTCACACTGCATGTGATTTCTGTTAAAAACAGGGTCATACGGTCATTTATCAATCCACAACCACTACTTGGATAGTTTATTCAAGTCACCAGTATGTATGAAAAAAAGACTTTGCCATTTACCATCTGGTTCTAATGGACTCTAATATTTTAGCATTCGTTTTACAAATAAGTTTACAGAAGTTAGAATGAAAACAAATTTAAATCATAATTTGTTTTTTTAAAATTAAAAACGCACTATACTGCTGAGGATCAAACACAAGCCTTGCCTGTGTTGGACAAGTGTTACTCTACTGAGACACAGCCTCAGCCCACAAAAAACATAACAGAGGGGTGAATTTGTTCACATTATAGTGTGGATATCTGTGGAATTCTCACACCAAAACCTCTTATACAATTAATTCAATTTAAAAAAGAATTTAAGCACAGTGATTCTCTATTCCAACACACTATGCATTATCTGCCTATGAGCTGTCAAGCATGTGTCAGCATTATTCCTTTATAAATCCTAAATTCCACATTAGGATATGTCTAATAGATTATAGTTCATTAGTTCTGA